TTCCTGGAGAGCCACCATCCTGCAGATTTCAGTTGCTTCCCATATCAAACACACCTGAACCAATTAGGACCTGAACACCACATGATAATTACAGGCAGGTGTGTTTGATATGGGTTGCAACTGAAATCTGCAGGAAGGTGGCTCTCCAGGAGCAGGGTTGGCCACCCCTGCCTTAGGCTATAACTACTTATCAACAGTTAATAGCTTAATAATAAGCAGGTAGTCAGCCAGTTTAATAGCATGAATTGTGAACTAAACTGAATTGTTACCAATGTTTGTTTGTTTTTAAACACAGTTCACTGAAATATTCTTTAGGAAACACAAATGCTTCACTGGATAAACAATATTTTGGAATCAATATTAGTAACAGTTTAACTGAAACCCAGCTTAGCTCTGCATTAAGACATGAGGTGTAAATCTCCTCTCCGAAGCTTTTCCTTCAGGCGGGAAGGGTTTATATGGAGAACAGAAGCCCGGAGAAGAGCAGCTCCCTCCCCCAGTGTAATGGCAGACGGCTGACTGGCTGGCTGGATACAGATGTCTGGAGCACATGATTCACGCTCCAGACGAGCTATTGATTTGGTCTGGGTCCCTGCTCTGATTTATTGTGTCATTTTTGTTTATAAAGGTAGATCGAGAACACGAGTGTTTCGATTTAAGTGTGCAAAATAAAAGCAGCGTGGAGCAACGCTGCCGTCTGGCCTGTGATGAATTGCAGCATCCGGAACCCAAGTTTGAAGCCGGCGAGAGGATTGTCTTCATCAGACAAGGCAAGACAGGACGTCCATCACACGACGACCATCCAACACAGAGACTCAATAACACCACAAAAAGCGCTGAAATGAAGGAATGCTGGAGGGGGGGTTGAAAACCTTTGTGTTTAGATGACGAAAAAACTTCTGAATGGTGATATGTATGGCCTTCAGACCTGAAAGACGATGAGAATGTAGGTCTTCAAATGGAGGTTTGATTGCATATGATGTTGACCTTTTATCATTATTGAAACATACAACTGTTCATCATTGGTGTAAAGTAACTACAAATACTCAAATTAGTTGAGTAGTTTTTTTCTCGGTAATTGTTAATTTACTAAGCAGTTTTAAAAATGTGGACTTTTACTTTCCCTTGAGTACATTTTTAGTACTTTTAATCCACTATATTTTTTTCCTGTCTATGGGGATTAGAAAAATCAGTCCTGCAATTCACATCGCACATACTGTAGAAAGTAAATTGCATCATAATGAACAACCTCAAGACATGGGCGCTTTATAATTGCAGCAAACTGTTTGGAAGCAGGGCGACACAGTGGCGCAGTAGGTAGTGCTGTCGCCTCACAGCAAGAAGGTCGCTGGTGCGAGCCTCGGCTGGTTCAGTTGGCGTTCTGTGTGGAGTTTGCATGTTCTCCCTGCGTTCGCGTGGGTGCTCCGGTTACCCCCACAGTAAGACATGCGGTACAGGTGAATTGGGTAGGCTAAATTGTCTGTAGTGTATGAGTGTGAATGACTGTGTGGATGTTTCCCAAAAAAGGGGTTGCAGCTAGAAGGGCATCCGCTGAGTAAAAAGGTGCTGAATAAGTTGTCGATTCATTCCGCTGTGGCGACCCCAGATTAATAAAGGGACTAAGCCGACAAGAAAATGAATGAATGAATGTTTGGAAGCATTAAGTTTCCAAGATCTTTACATGCATTGACCCAGAGGCTGTTCAGATGCATGTCACTGATGAGAAGGTGACGGATGTTTGCTCAGGGTATATGCAGGATTCCTAAAGATAATTTCAACACCTTTTTAAGACTTTAAGATATTTTTTAAGAAATATTCCAAGAAAATTTTATCCAAGAAAGTTCTAATCAGTATCAAACCTTTAACTTAATAGCAAGTATAAACAGTTAACTCTATACCGCACAACCGTGCAACAAAACTCAGATAAGCTCGGAAGAAATAAAGCTTGAAAGATTAAATTACACGGTTGTTTTCAGCGACAGGCTTTAGCCACTGTTTAAACTCGTCTTTCTCCAACCACAAGTACGCAAACTTACATTTTTCTATTTTGCCGTCTGTTTCGCTCTATGGTTTCACTACATGTGGAGGGCGTCACATCACCTTCAAGAGCTTGGCTGGACGCTCCCCGGCCTGAACCAATCGCATGGATCTAATATTAACAACCACATACTTTGAGGAAAATAAATATATTTATGCTTTTTTGGAGTCAAACACTTTGGACAAGACTTAAACATGGTAAAAACACAATTAAGACTTTTTAATACTTTTTAAAGGCCTTCATTTTCTCAAAAGTGATTTATTACTTTTTAAAACTTTTTAAGACCCTGCGGACACCCTGTTACAGCATGATGACCGAAATGGCCTTAAACACCCAGCAGGCACAAGACGTCAACATGACGTCAGATTGACGTTGTACCCGTTGTCATGGGGATGTTACATTTTGTTTGGAAATAAAAATCAGGTTGACGTAAGAATATAGTCAGGCTGACGTCAATGTCCAACTTAAAAATCAACCAAATATCAACGTCTAGTTATGTTACAGCTTGACGCGTGGATGTTACCACTATGACGTCTATCAGATGTTGGACTTTGATTGCCATTTGACGTCAATATGGAGTTGGTTTAAGATGTTGGCTCAACGATGGATTTTTGTCACTTTCTAACAAGTTCTAATAACCTAAAATCGACCAATTTTCAACGTCATTTGACACCATTATTAAACGTCAAAATAATGTTGTTCTTAGACGCTGGCTAGACATTGTATTTTGGTCACCTGACATCACAACCTAAACCTAAGCTAATATTACAACTGATACTTCTACTCCACTTGTTTACTTGAGTATGATTTTTTTCAGAACTCTTTCCAGCACTGCTGTTCATGTGGAAAAGACAACACAGCAGACAAAATTAGTCAAAACGACATAAAAACCATCAGAAATTTGACATCGGTTTGACGTCCACACACACTGACGCCCTTTTACCCATAAAAATAACGACACAGAATTATGAGTTTTATTCACATGAAAGCTTCTCCAAATTACAGACTTTGTATCCCTGCAATGCATCTGAACTACATTGATGGCAAAATAACATCAAATTGACATCTAACATTGGGGTCAATTAATTTAAGTCAATTAAACGTTAATATTGAAATGTTTCCTCTGCATATGTATGTCCATTTTGCTATCTAAGCATTTAAATAGAGAATGAAACTGCAATGGTTTGACACTTTGTCATCAACTTGAACTTTTTGTTTTTCAGGTATAATCATAAAAAACACACATTTGTCAATTTTGGACCTTAAAATTTGTGTCAGAAATACTTAATAATAAAATAATTTGTAAAAAAAAAAAAAAAACTTGTCAAATATATTTATCCCGTGTCCAATTTCTTTTTTGGATAATGTTGTTGATAGAAATGAATATGTTGAGCTACTGATGAACCACTGCAGAACGAAACATTATTCACTTCTTTCATCTAAAAGTTCATGCAAGTCAAATTAATTTAGTTTCTAAACTTTTTAAGCAGTAATTATTAATTCAGATTTAGAGAAAAGTAATGGAATTCCATTTATTGTAAAAGAGTTCTTACTGTATTTCTCCCATTTTATGCTCTTATCATTTCATCCAAAGTATTCACAACAGCACTGAAAAGAAATTCAAATAAGTTTTAATTTTATAAGAAGTAAGTTTCACATTTTGACCTTTTTTCTACACGGTTAAGTTGCTCTTTATCGAAATATAGTTCGTTTAAATAACTTCTGATCAACTGACGGAGGAAAAAAAAAAAGGAAATATATATATATACAGTTGAAGTCAAAATTATTAGACCCCGTTTATTTTTTCCTTAATTTCTATTTAACTGAGAGACTTTTTTCAACATTTCTAAACATAATAGTTTTAAGAACTCATTTGTAATATCTAATTAATTTTTATATTTGCCATTATGACAGTGAATAATATTTGACTAGATATCTTTCAAGACACTTCTATACAGCTTAAAGTGACTTTAAAAGACTTACAGTAATTAGGTTAACTGGGCAGTTTAGGGTAATTAGGCAAGTTATTGTATAATGATAATTTGTTCTGTAGACAGTCAGAAAAAAAAATGCTTAAAGGGGCTAATCATTTTGTCCCTAAAATGGTGTTTAAAATATTAAGAACTGCTTTTATTCTAGCCAAAATAAAACAAATAAGACTTTCTCCAGAGGAAAAAACATTATCAGACATACTGTGAAATGTCCTTGCTCTGTTAAACATCATTAGGGAAAAATAAAAAAAATAAAAATTCAAAGACGGGCCAATAATTCTGACTTCAACTGTATATATATCGTTTGAACTCTTGTTGTACCACAACATAAGTAATCACAAATGATGTGGTTTTCTGATTTATAAAACCATTTAAAAACAAACCGACTGGCAAAAATGAAAACAATGCTCATGTAAAGATGGATACAAAGTTATCGGTTACAAAAAATATGCCAAATTCAGTGCATTTAATGAAAAACAGGATTGTTCTGAAATACGTCAACTAAAATAAACACCGTTAAAACCCAACAGTCAACTTTATCAAATGAAATGAGTGTTGTAAACTCAAAAATGACTGAAAGTTAGTTCTACTCATTTGAAAAGAATTTTGTACTCAATGAGTGTTGAAGGTAATGAGTTAAACTAAATATCCAATTTCTTTAGCTTTAATGAAGTTCACAGTTCTCATTTTGAACTGAAATAGTCTGCTGCAATTGATTTTCTCAAATGGTTTGAGTTACCTTAACATTTTGGGTTTTACGGTGTATATATTTCATATCCAACACAAAAAAAAAAAAAAAAAAAGAATTTACAGGAAAAAAGTTGCCAAAACCATTAAAAAAAAAAAAAAAAAAAAAAAAAATATATATATATATATATATATATTCCCACCCTGAATTACAAGATGTCAGAACTCTCAAAACAAAGTGAAAGAATAAGAGTGAGGGGAAGAAGAGCGGCAGAAAGAGAGAATGCAGAACTACACAAGTGTTTATTAATCATGCCACAGAAAATTAAACAGAAAGAGGAAGAAATCAAAACACATATCCAAAGTCAAGGCTTCCAGCTTTTGTTAAAAAAAAAAAAATCTTTTAATTGTGCCACATCCAAATTTGGATCATACAGTCCTACAGACATAAAACAAAACATAAGACTTGCCCCTCTAAGAAAAGAAAATGTGGACTTTACAATTAACATCATGTATTCTCTCCAAAACCTGCCCGTGTCGTCTCTTCTAAAAAAATGAAGCAGTTCAGTCAAAAAAAAATTATAAAAATTTGCTGTTTACTCTTCCTCAAGGTATCCAACATGTAGGTAACATTTGTTTTCAGCATAACATGAAAGATTTGCACTAGAAACCGTGGTCCTTAGTGATTCATAAAATGATGCAAGTTGATGAATGTATCATCGGTAGTAAGGCTGGGTCGATAAACGATATATCAAATTGTGATGAAAATTTACATCAATAACAATAAGCTCTGGACTTTTTTTTTTACTCTTTATTGATCTAAGAGTCAATCACAGCAGACATGTGGTTGGTGATTCATGTGTCGTCGGTAGTAGGGCTGGGCCGATAGACGATATTATATTGAATCACGCTAAAAATTTACTTCAATAACATGATAAACTCTGGACTTGTTTTACTCTATATTGATCCAGGATCACACAGCAGAAATGTCCAACAATGGGAATCTAAAAGTGTGTTGATATTAGAGATGTACTGAATTTTTGGCCACCGACAAATTAATCAGCTAAAAATGTTGCGTGATTTATTGGACCTTCTATTTTTTGTGGCTTTAGTCATTGTTGGGTTACAATTTTAAATTTGGAAGCAATAACAACGTATATCGAAATATATATCGTTGGCATTCCATATGGAAAATAATTAGAGATTTTTTTTATTGACATTTTTGCCATATCGCTCAGCTCTAATCAGGAGTCATTTTATTTTGCCTGTATATATATATATATATATATATATATATATATATATATATATTTACACACATACATACATACACACTTTTTTTTTTTTTTACTCTAAAAGTCATCAAGCCACTGACTTACATTTTATGAAATCACCAACGTCCTCACTTTCAGGTAAAAATCTTCAATATTTCTCAAAAGAAAGAGGCCACCAACATCTCAGATGATCTGGAGGTAACTAAACAAACTGCAAATTTCCATTTCAGTGTGAAATATCCCTTTAAAACGCTTACTATATGGGAGTAAATTAAGACTATAGGCACAAACTTTGGTCCCTTGTACTGTAGTTGTCTTTCCAATTCACACGAAGTGATTTCCAACCCAAGAATAATGATGCACCAGCGTCAGAGAAAAGCATGTCACAATTACCTTCCACTTAGGATAAAGACAACAACAGGTATATAAAAGAAAACTGGAGGAAAGAAAATGAGCAATTACAACGGGCTTCTTCTCCAAATTACAAGAGTTTTGGCTAGATTGGTGGGTTAAAAATGGGTCCATAACGACCACTGGAGAGTCGCATTTATTTACAATTCTTCAATGAAAACGGCATGGGCATTAAGAATAAAACAAACGAAAGACGCGATAAAAAGATTGATGGATTTTATACACTATACAGACTCAACACGAGGAGAAGAAAATAAAAACATGACACTTAGTGTAATATTACCCTCAAACAAAAGCATGGGTTTGAGAAAAACAATAATTCTGAAAAGTTTTGTAAGGCACATTCTTTTCTGCTTTTTTTATTATAAGGGGATCAGGACTTTACACCACAACAGCTTTCTAGCACATCAGAGTGCCCACGATAGGGAAACGGTGTTAAAAAAAAAAAAGGTCCTTGGAAAATCAGTCACAATATTTCTTTCTTTAGACATCTTCTTTAGGAATGAATCTTGGAAAAAGAAACGCATGGTCCCCAGTGTATTGAAACAGTCAACAGGCGACGATAGAAAAAAAGGTTGAGATCGAGACCTCTCGGGTTACGTTTCAGATGGTGGATTTGGAAAAGGAGACCTTCAGGTGGTGGTTATTACCCATGTTGTAATTGTGGAGGTCGATCAGGCATTGAATGGCTTCTTCGATGGTCGACATCTGAATCAGGGCCATTTTATGATCTCTGCAGAGAAAAGAAATGGTCACGCATGAAAGAGGGGGGGGGGGGGGGGGGGGGGGGCTTCTTTTGATGAGGTGTTAAAATGTGGAATTTTTCTTCTATACATTTTTCTTCTGAGAATGTCTCATTTTTTTAGTTTGGCTGGAATAAAAGCTTTTTTTTTTCATAAAATAATTAAGGTTAATATTATTCACAATATATAATTGTGCCACATGTCAGAATCTGAAGAACGAAACAATCCTGTATTGTGTCAAATTTTCAATAACCAAATCCAGCTAATTAAGTAAACTATGTACGAGGAATGGTCCACAGGCCTAATCCAAATGTCTGAAATCCAAGTTCTTTTAACTGTGAGAACCCTGTTTTTAATAATATAAGAAAGATTCTTTCAGTAAAGCCATGACAGACAGAATCGGTTGACATTTTTGTACTATTTCTAAAGAGAAATTTTGTTAAAAAAAAATCTGCCTTTTATGCGTAATTATTTTAGGAGTATCATAACTAAAACTTAATATAAGAAAATAATAATACATTTTTAACTTAAATTTAATGTTTACAATGCAAATCCAATTAGATCCACTAGTTTGGTAAACAAAGTCAGGTTTTTATATCATATATCTACTAAAAGACAGAAAATATTACTTTACAAACTGTATTGTAATTAAATCATATGAAAATTTTAATATTACTTTTATTATATCATAACGATATCAGTGAAATTAATTTGAAAACTGAATAAATATAAATTTACACACACTTACACAAATAAATACATAGACTAAATAATGGGCTAAAAATCTGTGGATTTCTGTATGCGCAGATTTCGTGTGGGCATAGCCATGACTTAAAACATTGTAAGTTACATTTATTTAATATATATTTTTATATGCATTTTACATTTACTATTCAATAATTATTGCATTATTGCCAGTTACATGATGGGATTACTTGGGGAAAATTCTGAGCAGGAAAAATCATCTAAAGGTAAATAAGTCTTTTCAATGCTTGTTCTAACACTTGCTTTTTTCATATCAGAGGTTCTTGTTCAGCATAAAAACTCTAAGCCATTACATGATCTCTGCAGAGAAAAGGACCGGTCGCACAAATGAAAGCAGAAGCATCGTTTTGATGAAGCGTTAAACGGCGACAGACTTACTGGAAAAACTTGAAAGCTTTCACAGTGCCGCCGGAGTTGGAGAACAGGACTCTGAGGTCTTCTTCAGTAACGTCTTGCCTTCAAAACATGACAGAAAAATGAGGCGGCTCACCGACGACTGACACACAGACTGACAAATGGCGAATGCAGCTTTTACTCACGGGATGTTTGACAGATGCAGCGTGGCAGAAGGAGGGAAGATGTTCTGGAAGTTCTTGGAGCCAGGCTTTTTGAAGCGATGTAGCGGCGAGTTGGTGAAGTCTTTGGTGAGACCCTGGTCATCTAAACCGTCTCTCGGCAGCTGAACGGTCTGGTGCTTGGACATTGTGACTCTGATGATCTTTGAAAACATCTTCTGACCGTTTAGATGGCTCATCGCTGAGGTACAGCCACATCGTAGAAGAAAAACAAGAAAGATTTGATGAAATGCAATGTTTTTTTAGATGTTAGCATCAGTATTTTAGTCTTTAAGAATATCCATAAGCTAGTGTAGTACAAATCAGTGACTAAATTTGTGTTCTGAAGAAATAACACTGATATAAACATGTAACGCTGGCAGAGCTGTGATAAAACAAAACGCTTTTGACTGCTTTTAAAAAGGGGAGAAGCTACTCTATGTCCAGCTAGAACTGGGCGATTAACCGAAATTGACATTCAGACTATTATACAATCCAAAAGTGTATTTATTTAATTATAAAGTTGTTAAAAACAGAACTTAAAATATAACACTTTTACTCTGAAATTAATTTGAGAACGCTGCATTTTCTGCATCATTACTCCAGGTTTCATCTTTCAAAAATCATTATTAGGCTGATTTAGTGCTCAAAAATATTGCATTCTATTACCAATGATAAAAACAAGTATTTCCTTTTTTAGGATTATTTTTAGGATTTAATTTATTTAACAGAAAACAATTTACAAAGTAAACACTTTTAATACTTTTTGAAAATTATTATTAAATTAATATATTAAATAATGTTTTTGAAAAATAGTAATTGCTAAAAAAAAAAAATTAATTCTGGCCCCAAACATTTAAATTGTGGAGATTTTTTAATAACACAAAGTATTAACATGCATACAGCTACAGAAGAAAAAGAGAAACTAAGAAAATCCTTTGATTCTGGATTTATTAGCTATGGATTTGAGTAAAATTTGAATATTACTTTGATTCTATAAAGGTCTTCACATTTGACAAAAGTGATAAATAATCCAGTGTGCTCAGTTTAATTTTGCAATCATAAATGTATTAAAAAATGGAAAATAAAAAATAAAAATGATTATGCAAAAAAAAAAAAAAAAAATCTGCTTAAAGATTAACATGAACTATAATAGGTAACAATCAGATACGCATATACAATAAAAAAACAAAGAAAGAGAGGAATAATACCATAAAAATATTGATAATAGTTATAAAAAATATACTAAAAAGATGAGCACATGTCAATTGCTATGTTTCCATCCAAAGATGTGAATTGAATTTATGTGCTGGAACAGGAATATCGCATAAAAGATGTGCGAATAAAGCAGCGTTTCCATCCAGGCAAAGACAAACAAAATCATCACTTCCTGATTAACTGGCACCAAATATCAACAATAAAAATGGAATTTGCTACGATAAGAGAAGTTGCTCAAATCATTTCCTTATTTAATAAATTATTTGCACCTAAACAATGCCGACATGCAACAAGTGCGTGACAGTTTGAAGCCATGAGATGCAGAGCACAGACGCTCTAAACAATTCTGGAGGTTATTATTAATATAACACTAACACTGAAATGGTTAAGGCGTTTTAGATTGACCAAAACAACATTTCAGATGTTTTACAGTATGCTCAGCCTGCTGGTTTGTCCAATCGCACACATTTTTATCATCACCTGATCTTATAAGAAAATTGCATGACTTTTTTAATGCGCATGCTGGAATTTGTTCAGTAAAAGTGTTTTCATCGCAGTTCATGCACATTTTTCTTATCAAATAAAAAGTTTATCCTATTCAGCTATTTTCAAAATTGATGCACATCTTGGCGTTTCCATCATTCGTTGTTTATGCACATATCCAAAATTTAAATAAAAAAGATGGATGGAAACATAGCTTATGTGATATGTGGTAAGTCAAGCAATAATAATAACAACAATAATAATGTTGATAAGAAGAAGGAAGGAAGTAGTGGCAGCTAATGTGATAATAATATTAATAATAATAATAAAAATTACATAAACATAAATATTAGTCCTGTATATTAGTTATCGACCCCATAAATGCAAATACTCAGTATCGTATCCTTAGTTTTTTGTCTTTTCTATCTCTACTACATATTCAGAAGGCATTCACAACCTGCAAACTTCTTAAATTTTCATCAGGAAATAATGTGGGTGCCATGAGAGCTGTTTTTTTATGAAGCAAAGCTGTTCAGTTTTAATGAACACATTTTTATTTGCAATTAAATTGAGTACAATGAAACCAAGGACATCGATACTGAATGAATCTTCTGCGATTTCACAACGTCTTTAAAGTCTGAATGCGACTGCAAATTGAGCTTGACTGGCATGTAAAGTTGCCGTGACAATAACTGTTAAGAATGTTTCGGTATGCTTCTTACCAAGCTGAGCCTGGTTCATATCGGCCATCTGTATCAGTGCGCTGTCTTTCTTATTAAAAAGGATCTTCACGCGCTGCACGTCTCCATAAACTCCTGTGAACAGAGCAGCAGCAGCCGGAGAGAAAGCCAGAGACGGAGGAAAGAGTGAGGAGTGAGACTCAGAGAGTGGAAAGATGGACTGATAGACTCACAGAATGTCTATCGAGATGGAGAAAACTAATCACAACCTGACAGAAGACTCAGATATGTATAGATATATATACACACACACACACACCCTCAAATGCAAGAGAAATTAAAAGCTAAGATGGAAGCTAAGACTGTGCAAACTGAACCAAAGACAAACATGCATTCGAACAAATAGCTCAAAAGGCAGAACGAAAAGCAAAATACTTTTACTCTTAAAGCCAGTTAATGACAATGGCTGAAAGTCAACATGAAATGGCATCCAAAATTGATTTACCTTCATTACAAAAGAAGAAATATTAAGAATTATAATTACTACAGATGTACTTTATCCATTTAAAAATGCTAAAAAGCTATTTGCTTATTTTTCATTAATATTAATTCGACAGATTAAACTAATAAATGGTTTTGATTGATATTTTTTTAACAAAAAATTATACTTTTTTTGCCAAACAACCAGGGGTCTAAATTATTTAACTATAGAAACCTTTCTAAAAGTGAACAATTGACAAAATTTAATTGTAGTTTTTTTTTATTGGAGATTATGCCTCATATGACATATTTTTACATTACACAACAACATGTACATTAAATATGTTTAAAAGTAAGTCCAAGGCACTCGAAAAATATGTAAAAAATATTAAAAAGCCTTTATTGACATGGCTATTCTTTAAAACAGTGCATACGCACTTCGGCAAACACTTGCCTTTATCAGAGTGGTTCCCTTATAAAGGCTTGTTAATATTTTTTACTTATTTTTCAAGTGCTTTGTACTTACTTTTGCTGTTTAATCAGATGAATCCCTTACTCAAAGAGCACCGACACATTAATTAAGCTACCCCTGAGCACTTTCTGTTTGATTTTAGGTTTATTTAACAGTTTATGTACATGTGCTCACATTATACCATCAAGTTTGAATGGGAAGCGGCATTCGCACACCATCTACTCCAATGTCCAATAAATAGTTTAATCATCGATATCGCAATTTCAAGTTGGGATAATAATTTACCAGAAAAATGCAGTTCAAAACATGATAATTTTTCACTCATATTATTAGATTAAAGACTTTTGGATGTGTTTTTAAGGCCTGTGACAGTAGGATTTTAAGTTAATTTAAACCATCTGGGCACAGGAAGTTGTAAAGTACGCCACTTTAACGAATATTATGTTTAATTATTTGATACAATAAAGACTACATGCAGTGTTATTTTACATACTGAATTTCTGTACTGCAATACTGTTCAACTGCTTCAAATACTTTAAATCGTTGTCTATTTTTTTTTTCTTTTTGTTCTGTTGTTTTCATCAGTGCTTTCATTTAATTATTTAGTATATTATATGCAGATGCACTCCCCTACAAATCATAACCATTGTTATAAAATTCGGAATTCTTTCCAAATAGTAATTTTGTGAAACTATAGTCATTTCATAGAAAAACAAAATGTAGCAATGTCAGTTTTTTCCAATATCATGCAGCTCTATTTCCAACTAGGCATGGGACGATAACCGTTTAAAGGTGTACCACAGTTTGGAAAAGTGAAGATTTTAAGACCGCCATTCCCAGGGTATGTGCAAGTTTTTTTTGTTACTTTTTTTAGGACAACAGTATCTCCAGCAGATAAGATATCCAAAGATGGCAATTTAAAAAGTAAAGAAATCTGTGTTTTTGAAACTAATAAAGACAGCAGAATTCAATGATTAATTTTCATCATTTGGCCTGACATGTTCACTGCTCCAAAATACTTTTACATCTTTCAAAAAATAAAATATATTGTTTTCAAAGTGTGACAAAATGTGTTGTTTTTTACCCAGACATTTAAAAATAATATTTTTAGAGCAGTAATCACAATACCATGATATCGTGAAACTGTGATATTTTTATCTAAGGTTATCATACCGTCAGAATCTTATACTGGCCCATGCTAATGCCCAACCCCCTTTTGTGCATAGCCACATTAATAAATGAGACCCTAGAGCTTTAATAAAAAAGCTTACCCATACAGAAATGTCACAAATGATGTATATTGCCCTAAATCAATACTGATTGGTCTATGCATATAAATTAATAAGACAATATATAAGACAATAAGATGTGTTTATAGCATTATATTCTATCATGTTTAAATTGATTTGTCTTTTTTGCCAAATAAAAGATTGGTAACACTTTTTTGATGGTCCATTTTAATATGAGTAGACTGTCTGCTTAATATCTGATAATATGCTCCATCAACAGACATTTAACTGACTATAAGAAACTTTGTAAGTACATGTCAACTTATTCTAACCCTAACCCCAACCTAACAGCCTACTTATAATCTAATGAGAATTAGTTGGCATGTAGATGCAATGTAACTTAAATTTAACAAAATAAAGTGTGACCAAAACATTAACTAATAGAGTAAAAAAATTATACATGTGAATATCTCCAATAAAACTGGTTAAAGGGATAGTTCACCCAAAAATATAAATGTACTCACTATGGTCTGCTTCAAAACCTATTTGAGTTTTTATTTCTTCTGTTAAACACAAAAGAAGATATTTTGAAAAATGCTGGCACTCATTAACTTCCATATTAATTGTTGTCATATTACAAGTCAATGTGTGCAACCTACATTCTTCAAAATATCTTCTTTTGTATTTAAAAGAAGAAACTCTTATGATTTATAACCACATGAGAAAAAGTAAATAATGAGGTAATTGTCAATTTTTAGGGGTGAACTATGTCGTTTAAATGAATTAGCAGTCGAGTACATGCGACTCTAGAAGTTTACAAGCAAAAACGTTAACAAAAATTTAAATCAGAGACACACAAGTAGTCAATTATTTTCAATGGACATTAAGTAAATCTACTGGCCAATATCTGAAATGTCCATTTCATGCTGACTTTGGATAAAGAAACCAAAAGTACATGAATAATAATAATAATAATAAAGAGAACAATAAGAGAAACCAAATGAAAAAAAGGTAGAGCTAACGAGAACATACCGAAGAGGGTAAACAGACTGTGGGGCGTAACCATCTTTAGAGGAGAGAGGAGCAAGCGGACAGAGAGAAGAGTCGAGGAAGAGCAGAGATGAACAGATCATCCATAACGGAGGGTGGTTTCCCGCAGAATGGTGAAGTGGTCATGGATCATGGTTCGGGGCGGTTAATTGGGGGTCCGAAGTTTTGGTCAAGCAAAAAAATAAGAACAAAAATAAAAAACAAGAGCATGAACAGCGAGGTGTGATAAAAGTGTGGTGAGAAACAACAAAACCATATAAATGAGGGTAAAAAAAAATTATAAAGAGAGACAGAGTGGGACAAAATCAAAAATGGAGAAGCAAATGGAGTATAAGCAAAAAGGGGGAACAAAAAATATATAAAACAGGTCAGTACACAGGAAATGCAGGAGAATGGCTGCTTTATGTATTTCTACATTATACGAGCAAATAATTGTGCCAAATGTAGTTACCCAGGTACCAGGGTAAGGATACATTCATATCAAAAGAAAAAGGAGCATCTGATAAATGACAACAATGATCTGAATAAGAGAGTAGTGCATGCAGGAGATCAAGAAAAAGGCGAAAGCATTGTAGTTTCAAGCATTCGGTCCACAGAGTTTTACTCGTGTCTTTGTGATCGCCATGCTTGTGTGGACATGAAAACCACCTTAAAGTTATGGTGTGAACAGACAAAGTCACGCTGACTCCCAGAGCAATACATGAGGACTAACGTTTAAAGAACACTCAAAATTTGTTAATCGGATGAGAAGAAGGGAAATGTTACATATAGTTCATTAGTTCTCACAAAGAGAGAGAAAGAAATTGAGAATGAGACTATGGAAGTAATGTTTGTCATACCATATAATGAATATCATTAACAAATACCACTAAGAAATTTAGATGAATGAACTTAAAGCGACACAAAAATGAAAATTGACTCACTATTTATTCACCCTCAAGTGGTTTAAACCTTTTGTGAATTGCAATAATTTTGTTGAACACATTATAAGAACAAAGCAGAAAACCAGTAACCATTGACTTCTATAGTAAAGAAAAACAAACTATGAAAGTCAGTGGTTACCGGTTTTCGGCGTTCTTTTAAATACGTTAATTCGCATTAAAGTGAAGAAAGACAAACTGGTTTGGAACAAGTAAAGAGAGAGTCATTATGTAAGAGAGCACTTAAAATTCATGATAAAAAGCCTCGGTTGTACCATCGCTGTAATATCTTAAAAAACAGTGTCTTAAGTTTTGATAACACTATAAAATACTACAATATTTGTTTTGTTTAGAAAGTTATTCAATTAAAAAAATAAATAAAAGACTAATTTCAGATTAAAGAAAACATCACGAATGACATGTTCTTTGGTAAGGAAGTAACGTATTGTCCCTAGTCACGGGACCTCTTTTGGTCAATCTTCTTTTATTTTTAAATCCACAAATTTGTAGTATTCTCTCCCAACAGAAATAGTCACATGTACATTTTCACACCTGACAGGGAGGTGGTATTTGTCTAATTAAATGTGTACACACTGAGTGAGATGTTTTTGATTTGTCAGTGTTTTAGTTTGTATGTGATGATGCTTGTATGTTTTAAACTGACTTTTTAATTAATTGATTATTATTGTTTAAATTTGTACCTGTCTAGGGACTGCAGGTGGAAAATAGCAATCCTGCTATAACCTGGCACAATGAATCTTTCCTTTTTGAGGTTAATGTAATTTTGTGCATGTCCCTGTTAAATAAATAAATAAATAAATAAATAAATAAATAAATAAATAAATTCATTCATTCATTCATTCATTCATTCTGTAAAGGATGACTTTTAGTTTTGGGTGAACTATCCCTTTAATTTTGTTTAAAATATTTATTTAACTGAAAAGAATTATACTTTTGTTTTGTTATTATAATAAACAAGATCTCAAAGACCTAAAGAGCTCAAAGAGTCACATTTAACATATTTGTAAGATCTATTATATGTGACAGTTACTTAATTTACTGACCAATCATTTGTCACACCTATTGGAGTTTCTTTTTTTTTCAGTTTAACTTAACTCATAAAAATATTGAAAACCTGTAACCATTGACTTCCATGGTATTTTTTTTCCTACTATGAAAGTCAATGGTTACAGGTTTCTTTTTTCAAAATATTTTCTTTTGTGTTTAACAGACCAAATAAACTTATAACGGGTTTGAAACCAACTAACAGAGAGCAAATTGTGAGTACATTTTCATTTTTGGGCAAAATGTTCCATTAAGGCTATGTTAAGGAAAACTAAGACTTTGTTTTGGGCTGTAATTTTCCATTTTTTTTGCATGTCCCATATTTATTGAAACAAAAGTCAAGATAGAAACTTGTATTTTCCATATGATGGCAATTACATATTTATATTTGTAACATAAGAGTTATAAAATTATTATTTAAATAAAAAAACTAATATGATTATCATGACACAATAATTTGTTTTAGTTGTATTTAAAATGTAAGTCATGAGAAAAGTCTTAAAAAAATAACATGGCATGACAAACAGAAAATGGTAAATGCAGGGGAGTGGTTGAGATGTGAAAGTACACTGACCTCTTCGTTTAGATTGCTAACGAGCAGCACACCACCAGAGCTAGAGTGCCCGGACAGAGCCACTCTTCCAGCAGCCGCAGCGGCAGCAGCAGCCGCACTCAACGGGCTCAGAGCACCTGAATCACACACAACAACAATTCCAATCCAGACATTACATTAAAAGCATGTACAGATATGCAAAATTTGATAAACTGCGTGGATAAACTTAAGAACTAGTCAATAAACTCATTTTAAAAGCTTGAGTGATTAGTGTGTTGATGTACTTCCAACTGAAACAAAATATTAAGTAGGGGTAGGCTTGTTTTTGTGAATAATTTCCTATTAGCTAGATTTACACATTTCTTCATTCACTTTTTTGACACGCATAAGTGACAAGCAGCAAGCAGAGATCTATTTCTCCTCTACTTAAACAGAAAATGACTACTTGTTCATTTGAAATGTTACTTTACATTCATGACTAGTGTTGGGGAAAGTTACTTTTGAAAGTAATGCATTAAGCATTGTGCTACTTAGTTACATTTTATGGAAGGTAATGCGTTACATTACCTTTGAGAACTTAAAGGTTTTTTTTGACTAAGTTCATTTTAATTCAGGAATTTGTTTTTAAAAGCATTACATTTTTTAAAAAAATGTTTTACCCCAAAACTTTTTACTAAATTTAAGCAATATGTTACTTCACTCGCTACTTAGAAAACCAAAATAATTCCATAGGTTACTTGTATTGCGTTCATGATAATTAGATGCGTTTGCTGCTCAGCGTTGGCCCTTTAAAAATGAAACTTCAAATTTCTAAATTTCAAACCTGAGGCACCCAAGCAGCACCATCCGGCTGATTTATGTTTACTCTTGCACTGTCGTTACTTTGAATATGTCCTTTAAAGAGCCCATATTATGGGTTTTTGAAAATTCCCCTCCATGTAGTGTGTAACACAGCTCTAAGTGAAGTGAAGTATCCAGCTAAGGCTTAAATCTGTAAGAATACAGTGTTTAAAACGGTTGATTCATCTATAAAAGAGTCGACTCATAGTGCTTCGAACGAGTCGCCTTGATACCGACTCATTAGGTGTTTCGCCATGACGTACGAACGAAACCAAGTTATTCACGTGCACGCGCAAACCCGGGAGATTTCAAACCTGAGGCCCCGCCCTCTGACGCAGAAACCCAGACACACACACACACCCACAAACACACGCACACCCACAAACACACGCACACAAACATGCCGGTCGATTGAAGTAACACTGCAGATGGACATTATATTGAGTCTCTACCCAAAGATGAAACATCAGCATTATAGCCAAGCAGTTGGAAACTTCTGGAAACTACATGCTACAAAGAATACTTCATCTGAGTTTGTTAAAGGAAGGATCAGTAAAGAGTAACTGATGGACGTCAGGATGGGTTTCTTCCATTTCTCAAGTGTAAGTACGTGCGGTTAAAGTTGTTGCCTCGTTTACTCTAGCTTGCAAATGTATTTAGTTGTGATTTGTTACTTGTAACCGCGTGTACTGTATCAGGTTAACTGGATATATTATCTTATCGCGTGCAAAGTCACGTTAAAAACGCGACGCGTGCTGTTTGTTTATGGAGCTCCGTGCTAGAGTTCTACTCCCGCGATTTATTCGGAAATTTATTCCCGCGCCGCAGAAATCTGGCGCGGGGACAGCCGCGGGAATAAATTTCCGAATAAATCGCGGGAGCGGTCGGTAACGGGTTTAATTTGGGACGGGAGCGGGCTGTCTAGCAATATCACGGATATTGCTATGCGAATTAGAAAGAGAGTCTGCGTGGTGCTTGTGTGTGTGTTAGTGCGCACGCGCGCGTATGAGAGAGAGCGAGAGAGAGAGAGAGAGAGAGAGAGAGAGAGAGAGAGAGAGAGAGAGAGAGAGAGAGAGAGAGAGAGAGAGAGAGCGAACGAACGAACGAACGAGCTTTGTGCTGTGTGTGTGTGTTTATACTTGGCTGTCTGGACTGTATACTGGGTGATTTTTGGTTGTGTTCTCCGCTCTAGCGGGACCGGGCGCGGCGGGCAGAAAACGGAGCGGGTTCTCAGGCTAAAACCTGGCGGGTGCGGGCGGGTGCGGGCGGAAGCGGGAGCGTTGTCATCCGGAGGTGTGTGTGTGTTTTTGTGTGTGTGTGGTATGGCGAGTACACGACTGTCTCCTTCGTTCGGTTATCCGTGGCACTATCCACTCGCCATAGTGTGGCAGCTAAACTCCACGCCTACACTATCGAGCGTGTATGAACTGTGATTACTTTTTAAATTGCTGATTAGCTATTGGCCATTTCCCTCTCTGACTGAAGGCAGTCGACCAATCACGACAGACTGTCATCGGTCCAATCAGCGCAGATTAGCTCCGCGCTAAGGAGGGGTTTGGGAACAAATGAATCACTGGACGATTCATACAGGAGTCGCTGGGATAATTAGCTAAAAATAAATGCAGATTATAAGACCATGAAAGTGTTTTTTGACCTTGCATGCATATTAGACTGTTGTTGGAGACCCTTACAACCAGGATATGACCCTATTTCATGTATAATATGGGCTCTTTAAAGCCTTTCCAGATAAAAATTGTTGTTGATGACATTTTAAAAAGAGACCATTCCAAAAGTATGTTTAACAGTTTGTTTGCTATTGCAATATTGACATTTTTAAGGAACTTGAGTATGGCCAGGTCCACACAAACACAGGTATTTATAACCCCCTTGCTTGTGTAGACAAAAACGCAGTATCAGGTGACTGAAGGCAGAACTGTTTTCTCATTTTCCGATTGGCCAACAAGGCTGGGTTCACTAAACGTAGAAGATGTGATTGAGGCAAATTCCACACATTTGTGAAAAAATCATCACATTTTTATATCGCTACAATAAAAATGTTTGCATTGATATGTTGCAATTTACTTGCATATAACAAGGTTATTATAGTTAATGAAAAGAACGATTAGAACATTTTCGTTAATTGAAATACGAGTTTTAAAGAGTTTAAAACACTAAAACTAACGGAAACTGTATTTTGTATATACAAAACAAACTAAAATTGTAACAAAAACGTCTATTGTTTTCGTCTTTATAAATGTATATAATACATAATCCTACTGTAAAACTTTTAGAAGTAAATCTATTTACTTCATGCTGCCAGGTGTGTTTGAACCGTACGACACCCCAGAGTCTGTAATTCTGACGCCAGATCTAGTCGATCCTCCTCCAATCATCCTCGCTGCTCTCGTGACAAAAACAACGAGTGGACATGACAGCAACACGGTGACAGCATTAAATACGACTCGAGCAGACATTTAAAAGTATTGATTTAACACATTTGTGCACAAACTTGGGTATAAGTGATTCTGATCGCGAACAAATCGTTCTTTTTAATTGGATCTTCTAAATGAACTGGTTCAACTAGTTTACTAAATCGAACTGAATGATTTTAAATGATTCACATCTCCAATAACCCCTAATCCACAAATAACTTGTTTTTTAACATGCCTGATACCCCTGACTAGAAATAAACCAATATATACAAGTTATTCAGTTATTAGAACAGTACACAGAGATCAGATTTAAGAAGCAAAACAATTTTGATAGAAAAAGTCAAAACGAAATGAAAACTAAAACTAATGAAAAATCCAAAACTATTATAACCATTGCACAGATCTTTAATTCTGCTTTTGGTGTGAACCCAGCATAAACAGCTTTTATCAATGCCTATTGATTCAGCATGACCTTAACATGCATTACAGTGCGTTTTTGTAATTTCGTGAGAACAGATTTTTTTTCCTTCTTTTTTCAATCGAAAGTAAAGGAAATGTAAAAATACCCGTGGTCGTGCAGACATTGCCTGAGTGTATAATATGGTATCTTGAATAAATAACCTCATGTATTAAGTTAACAATAGTTTGATGTTTTTTCTACCAAGGGTTGGATTTTTAAAAAAACTAACCGGGCATCAAACCAAATGTGAAAGCACCCTAAATGCATTATGTAAAAGATGATTGAATCAACCAAAAAAGCGGTGCAGATACTCACACTAACTTAAGTCGAAAACCTGAATTTATAATCAAAGAAGCCTTCAACTAAGTGGCCCAGTCATATCCCATGTCAGTTTTCGCTGTGACAGCCAATAAAAGCTGAATTACACACAGATAAAACATATTAGTTCTTTATCCTGATGAGAGAGGGACCAGGTTAAAACCACGTGGGGTTTTAAAACCTAATAATTTTAAGCCTAATATCAATAAAATACCTGCTTGATTACGTGGCAGGGGAAATGTCAAATTGCATTTTAAATTAAGAGGCCTTATGAGCAGATCTCGGGAAAAAGGTCAGTCAAGGCACTCGGAGACACAGGCCTACGTGACATTTTACAGTACTTAAGAGCACATTCCAATTACATTCTGTCTTTCATAAACACAGCTTTCTATTTTCATTTTCACAGCATTCAGACAGACGCCATTAAATCAATGATGCTGATTGAAATACTGTCCCCATTCAGAGGCGTTCAAAATCAATCTCATCGTGAACGGGATGATGGTTTTGATGACATGCGATGATTAGAATTAAACAAGCAGTTGTCTTTTCTTTTACTCGAGTATGAAATGGATAAACACTTTTGGCTGTTGAATCCAGACTCACTGTATTTAAGCATCTCACACCATATTTAAGATGCCACATCAAGCTAAGAAAAAGGCTGCTCTCAAGACAACTTGAATGAACAACCAACAAAATAAGATGATTGTATGGTCAAAGGTGGAAAAAATGAATTAAATCACCAATTGTAAACAGGAACATGTTTCCTTATCTAACTGAGATCTGATTGGCCAAATTCCAAAAAAAAAAAAAAAAAAAAATTATATTTAAATAATTGATGTTGTTAGTAACCTTTGCATTGTGTTATGGGTCAATTTGACCCATTTTATATGGCCAGAAAAACAAAACTTTGTTTTTTAACTTTTGTCACTTTCTCATTTAGGTTCATGAACACATACACAAAGTGTTAGCACTCTGATGTGTTTTGAAGTGGGTGTACTAACTTTCTATTATATCTGTGATATTTGCTTGTCAATTTGAATATCGATATTGATTATGCACAAATTCATGTTTTTTTTTTGTCAATTCCTCAAGCACCTTTTTTTAATACAGCGAATTCTCTTCGGCTTATTCCTTTTATTAATCTGAGGTCGCCACAGCGGAATGAACTATCAGCTTATCCAGAATATGAGCCACCGTGTTGCCCCACCGTAATAATAAATACATATAATAATGGGCCATGGTCGACCCGAGCTCAAACAATCCTTGTTGTGTTTTGATGAACAGCCACAAAGCCAACAAAACCTGCCATGTCCTGTTGTTGTTTTACGAGGCCGTCTAAAAGTGCGAGCGGTTTTACTTTCTCCAGAGAGCTCGCTGCACGTCTATATTTGAAATAACAAACTTCTTGAGCTGATGATAATAATGTGCGCGTGATCATTGAAGCGCTCTGAAATCCAATCCTTTCAGAAACGGACAAACGCGAAAGTGAAGCGCAAAAAAAAAAGGTAAGGTCAGAAAAAAACAAAGGAGTAAAAGATTCTTTCAGCAACTTTAAACAAACAAACTGCCATGTTTAACTATTATCATCACCTTTGGACTATTATGAACTCGGCATGACTCTTTAACAAGAGGTTACATGTGCTGGTGAAAATGTAAGATACAGATGAGAGGTTTGCACTGACTTATTTTTGAACCCAAATTAAGACTAAATGTATGCTGTTTGTAGTTTTTCTGTATCGGTAACTTATCGGAGACTTTAAGGGTCTGTATGTGTTCATGTATATTGCATTTATTTATTTATCTTATATAATTGCAGACGTTACAGTCGGCTATTTTGCACAATCATTGATCTGCAGTTATAATCAAATTATGTTCATAGAAAAATTTGTATTGAACATTTATACACAAGTATTTGTGTATAAAGCATCTGCTTCATGAGAAGTTCTTCTCATATGATATGTGAACAACCTGTACAGCTTTACTTTGACATTTCCTCAAGCGAGAATGACATCGACTGAAACTTTCTGTCATACAGCACACCCATCAAAAGGATGCCATTGGTCATTATCACCCAAAATGTAAAATTATCAGAATTTACTCATCCTGCACTTGTTTTAGTTTATTTCTTCTGTTGAACACAAAGCAAATCAGAATCACAGAAAAATGCAGGAAAAAAAAACAGACTTCCATGTTATTTTTTGTTTCTACTATGAATGTCAATGGCTGCTTTTCCCCCCTCAATATTCTTCAGAATACTTAGTTTTGGGTTCAACAGAAGAAAGAAATTCGTAAAAGTTTGAAGTCATCTGAAATTAAATATAAATATTAAGGAAATATTCAATTCCGAGTAAACTATCCCTTTAATAAAAAAGTAAACAGGAACAATAAGACACTGGCACCAAAAAAAACAGCAAATAATATTGATAAAAAATAAAAACAGACTTACCAGGGATCTTCCCAAGCAGGGAACTGGAGTCTTTACTCAAGGCAGCAGCAACATCCAAAGCGGGCTGCCCATCTCCAGCTGGAAGCTCCGGTCTGGTATAATCCCTGCTCTTATCGTTATTGTATTTCACATTCAGATTGACAAGCTTTGAGTAGTCTATACGAAGAGTACAGCAGGCGTTGTAAATGTTCTGACCATCTAGAGCCTAGAACAAAAGAGAAAAAGATAGAAAAAAAGAGCAAGGAGGAGAGACAGAGAGAAAAAAAAATGCGTCGTCTTCGCAGGGCACTATAAACGTGCTTTCACATGAGCTTCCGCTGAGAGCAAACCCACCACTTTAGCTTGCTGCGCACAAGCTGGATCGTTGTACTGCAACAGGGCTTGAAACTGATTGTTCTTGGTGAATGTGATGATTTTCATGACGGTGCCAAACTTTGAGAAAATCTATTGACAGAGAAAGCAGAGCATTGAGGGGGAGCTATCAACAGAGGGGGAAAAAAACATTACAAAAAAACAAGATTAACACACAGGGCATCAACATTGTCATTAATATAAACGGTCAGTAAGAGGCTGAACACGTGCCCTACCTGCTGCAGCACATCCAGGGTGACAGGGTAAAACATGTTATCTATGATTATCCTTAGCACTGGACTGGAGGCCGAACCGCTACCGTCACTAGAGTTGGACCCTGATGTGGAAGTCCCACCTGACTGGAAATCAGACATGAACATAATTTAACCATGCAGACCAAGTAAACACAGTGTTTGGGCCTCACAGCAGCTCATTCTGGCCACAAAATGTTCATTTAGGCAAGAAGAAACTCACTAAATGGAATGTAAAGCACCCAAAAACAACAAAAAACATTAATGTTCAAAAGATTTTTTTTTAAAGAAACTAATAATTTTATTCATCATGGATGCTGGAAAAAAGCAATCAAACTGTCGATTAAATGCAATAGCAAAAGTTATTTATAATGTTCCATCTGAAATAACTTGTTTCAAACTTATTTAATACTTTAGAAACAAAACATATATAGAAACCATCAGTATTCTGATCGACGGTGAAAAGGATGAACCAAATTTTACCACAGAATGCACTTGTGATGTTACTGTAGCATATGTTCGACACACTAAACTTTGAACATACTGTGTTAGCTATAGGTGCTCATTCACACCGAATGCACCTTTGCTTCTAAAAACATGATGCGCTGCTTAGGAATGGGTTTTAAAAAAAAAAAGTGCAGTCCATATAATGCAATATGATGAATATGAAGTAATCACGACATTAACGGACCCGTTAGAAATAGAAAAACAATGTTATGATAAACACATGAAGATACATCATATAAGTCAGAATATTCTGGACAAAGGCACAATGAGCGCCTCATCTGTCACGATATAACTTTAAATGAAACAGTTGTCAAGCCAACTTTCTGCTGTAATCAGTAGCTCACAATGATTGCCCCGCTTCTGAGCTCTTCCCACTACTTTTGTCCAAAAACAATAGATAAGTAGCACATTGGAGAGGAAAAACACATTCTGTATAAACAGCTCCTAACAAATGTTTTCGATATTGATATTATCATGAAATATTGAGAAACACATATCATACTACTATACTATGGGATGCACCCATATGGATTTTTAGGCCGATATCGATAACTGTAAACTCTTAAGATTTAGAGGCCGATAAATAAAAATATTTTAAAATGTTTTCTTTTTTTACAGTGAACAACTGATTTTTTTTTTAAACTTCATGAAAGTTTGAACTGATCTTATGAACTGAATAGCCTATTCAAAGCAAAAAATAATTTCAAAATTGCAAGGTGATTATATAAATATATTTACGATTTTCCATAAATTAGACTGGCAAAAAAAAAACCTTTTTTCGCATAGCAAATTGACATAAAATTAAACAAGTTAAAAAAAAACATTTGAAGTATAATGACGTTACAGTAATGTACAAATGTAGAAATATGTAATGTCCGAAAAAGTGCTTTAAAAGATGATTTCACAGTTCAGAGCCACCGTACAAGAGAAAAGCTAAATACAGATAGTATGCTTTACTCTAGATTCTTTTGAACACACGTAGCTGCTGCTTGTCAATCAGACAACGCTTTATGTGCGTACCTGCTGTCAATTGCGGAAAAAAATGATCCTGAGGTGAAGGCTCTGAGGGCTATGTACTCATATATATAATCATTATAAATTATGCATGTGTGCATCGCTGCTATATGTATACACATGTAATATTTTTCCTTAGGTGATTTAAACCAAAATACACAATGACACTATCAAACATACCTACAATGATAAAAAAAAATTGTTTCTTACTGATTTATTAACGTACAGCAATACCACAAAAAGAAAAGACTTTGAAGAAAGAAACAATGTGAGGCATATTGCACTGGACAAGTCTGAACAAGTTCAACCCTTGCAAGCAGAGGGCAGGCAGTTCTGTATTATAACATAATCTATCGGCTTAAAGATATTAGCCTAATTTTCACATCGAACCGATAATGATAACATCAAAAATAGCATTGATCAGCCAATAATAATATGGCATTTGATATATCATGCATCCCTACATATTAGAATTTTTTTTGAATGATCACAACACTGCTGACTACAGAAATGGCTGACGACCAATTTTGGCAAGAATAAATAACATTTAAAAATGTTTAAATAGAAAGCAGATTTCTTATTTGACAGTATTTTATACAAATTCAAATAAATAGAGATTAAAAGATTCCTTCAAAAACCTCTTAACTATAATAAACATTTGACGAGTCTTGTAAAATTCAACAGCAGAGCAATAGTCTCCGGGCACACAATAAATAGCGGAAAATGACTATTGACAAGTCTGGCTACAGCAAAATTTCACTGGTCTAAAAATCACAGTCAGATTTGAAAAATCAAACATGTTTTAAACTGGACCAATTAGGTCATTTGTTACCTGGCTTGAATTGTCAGTCTTGAGTTCTTTGTGATTGGAATACTGTATGTAGACAGGCACACTACGGACATGAGGCGTCACAGCGGAGTAATAATTGACCATTGTCATAGCAGCTTCCTCCGTGCTGAGCTCCAGAAACGCCTGAAGACAAAGACGATCAACTCAAAGCTGTTAGTCCATCCAGAAATAGCATCTCCTTCTAAAGACTCATCATCTCTCACTAAAGTAAAAGCAAAAAGGTTTCAGCTGGCCCACGCACCTGGTTTTTGCCTTTCAGTGTGAGAATATTGGTGACCTTTCCGAAAGGAAGCCCCAGAGCAATGATCTCTGCTTCAGACACATCGTTAGGTAACTTTCTGATGTGGAGAACACGGGATGGCGGGGCGTCGCCGACTCTCTCTTCAACTCTGAGTTTTTTGCTGTCACTGCCATTGGATGTTGTATCTGTCAAAAGTGGTCAGAAAGAGGACATTATACAGGGAATAGAGAGAACATTTATCGCTATACAGGGAAAAAAGAAAACATTACATCTAGAACACAAATAAAACGATGTAATATTTCTGTTTCTCCACTGAAAGGCCATTCACCCGCTATTCAAACTTCATGCATGTGTAAATTTTGATCTTTCACATGAATTAAAGAGGTTTGTTGGTATATGTAAAGATGGTATGGTGGAACTTCTGTTCATTTCACTAAATCAATGTTTATATGTGAATAAAACCTAAATTAAATCTAGCATGGTTTATTGATGTTTAATACGGCTTCAAAAGTATCGAATTAGGTACCAATATTTACTGATATTTTTAAAACATCCATTTCCCGCTAATATTTAAATGCATTCTGAGCACGTTCCTAAACAATGCGAATTGGCCATTGTATTCACATGCTCAACAGCTGAACATAGGGCTGGGCCGATAAAACGGTATTAGTATTTATTGACTGACCACCATGGTCAATAACGGTTAGAAAAATTTTTTTTAAAAAAATTCTGTATGAAGCACAATAGATTTATTAAAATGTGTCTCCTAAGTAAGCGCCTTTTAAGGAATGCCAGTAAGCTTAGGGTTTTTCCAATCAAGGTGCATGGCTTGCACGTGCAAATCAGGAGCAAAGCAAGAAGGTCGCCAAAGTGGCTTTTTGGTTCCCCATCTGAAAGATTTTATAGGGCTGGGTCAGTTGGAGTTTCTGTGTGGAGTTCTTTATTTTGGTCTCTTGTCGAGGCAAGATATGAAACGGACTGCCATAAAACTTGTCAATGGCAAGCGTTTTCTCTCGTTAACCGCAGGAAATGAAATAATTTATTGATTTGACGCACATCATAATACCAGCCATACATGAAAAGCATATAATAATGTCCTTTAATTCGGTCACGTCTAGTGCCCGTCACCCTTGAACCAATCTCATCTCCACCTGTCTGTTCCATTCCTCCAACTTTCTTTTGCAGCCTGAAGCGTGTCAAAAGCACAAAACGCACCACAAGATGTCTATATCTCATCTATGCTGACTTCACATGCAAATCACTCGCCCTTCATCTGCGTCTGCTCAGTGCACAAGCTAAAAACTCCCTTGCCCCCCATTCCATGTAATGTAATGATTGTGAGGGCGCAGATGAGATGTCGTTTTTCAAGAGACACTCAAGTTATGTAAAACAATTCATTGCAAACTGTAACAAATGTAATTTGATTTTATGGTTTGGAATTTGGTGTTTTATGAAAATAATAATTTTTTTGTGATTATTTTGTTTTAATTAAGAAAATTTGCGACTTTTTGGTAATTTTGCGTTGGATTAAACGAACACTGAATTACGAAAAACTCTGGGGTCTGTATTATCAATAATAGGATACCAGAAGTCCTACTGTATACGTAGCAGTTCTGATATCAACTAACACTAAGTTAACATTTATGTCTGCAAAAACATCACAACAGATTTGTTTTTAAAAAACAAAATGACATTACATACAAGACAGACAATGTTGATATTTTCACCTCATTTTGCCAACATAAATAGTTAAAAACCAAGTATGTTTAAATGCATCATTGAATGATTTACTATTTACCAACATTTTGATGTTTTAGTTTTGAGTGACCAGACTTTTAATTATAGGACATAAATCTCTGAGATCTGATTAAATGCGTCTTCATTTGTGTTCCAAGGAAAAAAAAAACTCTTAATGGCCTAGAAAGACACAAGGACGATTAAATAATGATGCCATTTAATTTTGTGATGAACTAACGCTTCCAACCATAAAGCCAACATCAGGATAAAACAGTAAAATGCTGATTAAACACTCAACCTCTATTAGAACCGAACATTAATATGTCTAAACTGTATTTAAATTTCTCTTCTATTACATTTCATACAACATCAATCCGCCGCAGAAGAAACCCGAGAAACGAATATTCACTTAATTAAGTAAAGTCTCTTTTCTACCCAGTAAATATAGAAAACTTTTGCTTCTCTAATAAGATGCAGAGAGCACAATCACAATTCCAGTTGCATGCTCAAAAGCGTGGGTGTCCACCTACAGGAGAGCCTTAGGTTATTCCCAGATAGGATCTTCTCAGATCAGCTATCCCACTGAAACATCTGTTATAATCTGATTGTTTTAATGTCATTCACGGTCAAGAAAACGGCACATTTCAGGGACACTTACCACTGATACTGCTCAACCCAGAACTAGGGCTGTTATACATGCCGCCGGACAGCAGCTCATCTGATCCTCTCTGCGGAGACACAAACAAAGAGAAAGATAAAAATCCAGCTTTCCAATAAAGACATTCTCCCTTCACAATCCCCTCAACCAAACAATGAAATACAGCTCTCTGCGGACAGCTTAAAGAATCACGGCACATAAAACACACGTCCACGAGCTCCTGCCTTATTTTTCTGGATTGTTGCTTTAATCTTGTTGAGTCTAAGATGTCAGACGCTGTCATCTCATCCTGAGCTGCCCACGTTCCCGAAGGGCCTCGGCACGATCGGGTCGCCCGTCTGAAGTGCAGCTAAAAGTGACTGATGGGACGGCTGGCAAACGGTGAACCGGCGCAAACCAAACTTCCTAATAGGATCATCTCAGGTTTGTGTTGCGTTCCAAAAAGTTCCACTGAATTGTTCTTTATGGACGTGGCTTTTTACGGCCCCTAATAAACTCGCCGCCGAGCCTGCCTTCTAGGCATCGACACTACAAACAATCAAGGGAATGGTGAAATTTCACATCGAAATGACTGAAAGCAGAAGAATGCATTAAGGGATGGCAAGGTCTTAACAGGCGAGCTTCAGCATCAAAACTGATTAGAACGGAAGGAACGGAAAAAAAATATAACTTTAAAGCAATAAGATCAAAGCTTCTTTTTCTACCTGCTTTCCCAGAAAGACCGCTTAACATTGTTTTCCGAAGAGGAAAATTCTGTTGTTGGTAAAGAAACCGAGTTAAAAGGTCTGTGTTCAGAAGGCATCTCGGAAAAAGAACAAGTTCTTCTCTAACAATCTTGGACACAAACTGCCCCCATTCAATTACAGCCAGCCTAATTGTATGAAAAGCAGAGATGGAGACCTGTAACAGGCCTGTATCTAATATATAAGGGACAATTCTACATTTCCGCACAACACTTTTCTTTTAGCGACAGAATCAGACACGTAATATCCAATAATGCACTTAAATGGCTTGGCAATTCTTTGTCCATTCAAAAACAAATTACGTTTGCATCACCCTAGGCTTCTTTGTCTCTTTTTCTATTTTGGGTTTGACGCCACACAATACACAAATAAGTAAAAATAATAAAAAAATAGAAGGGAAATAAATGCTAAGTCCCATGAAGACAAATTATGTTCCTGACAGCAATAATAAAAAAGCTTGCATTACCTTTTTGAATGAGGTGATGGTGGAATTGGTAGGCAAGTCAGACAGGATGGCAACAATTAAAGGTAAACGTGCATAAATCATAACACTAACATAAGAGATGCACCACATTTTGGCTGTCTAAAATTATTGGCCGAAATGTTATTTTTGTTTTTAAGCCAACAGAGAAAATATTTTTGTACTTGCTCCTGCTGCTAGCAAAAGCAAAACTATGCTGTCATGATAATGCTGGTGTGATTATTTAATTGTCTTGTGTTTGTAACAGAATCTATGCTTTTTATTTAATCTACTAAAAAAATGACATATGTATTGTTTATCCAATATTTATTCATCATAATAGCGTTCCTCATTGTATTCATAATTTTAAATCAGCGATAACTAATTGCATGACAGTTCCACAATCAGGACAGTCCAATCTCAGAGCAATTATTAATCGTTTTACTATTTAAAAAATGCCCATGTGCCAGCAGAACAGGAAACCCTAGGGGCTCTATTTTGATGATCCATGAGCAAAGTGCAAAGCGCAAAAGCAATTAGGGCGTGTCGGAATCCACTTTTGCTAATTTAAGGATGGAAAAATCCGTTTTGCGCCGCGGCGCATGGTCTAAAAGGGTTGAGCTTATTTTCTCAATGAGTTATAGGTGTGTTTTGAGAGTAAACAGAGTCTCATCTCCCATCCCCTTTAAGAGACAGTTGCGTTACCATAGCGCATTTGCTATTTACACGACGGACTTTGTAAGTGGAAAAACTAAGCACTTCACTAGCAAGAAAACAGTTAAACAGAGCATCTGCAGCGCGAGAATGAGAGATAAGGCCTTCTCATTATCTACTTTCACTTTCGCTCTCATGGATAGGAAAACTTTGTATGCACAGACATCAATTAGCCTATAAATAATTCATTTAGTTTGTAAAGAGATTGTACAAAGATTTGTTTCAAAACTATATCTAAATTAATTTCTAATTTCCAGCAAAAAAAAAAAAGAACAATAATAACGAATTGTGATCAAACAACTGAGTTATATCCAAATACACATGCTGTGCCCCACATGGTCTACAACCTGACAGGTGGGCAAATCTAAGCTTGTTTTTAATAAAACAAATATACATAACAACATTATACAAAAGCAAATTGTTATGAATAAATTGAAAAAGCCCCCCACCCCCGAGATGAAGAAGGCAGGAAAGTTTGTTTTTTATATTTATGTAGGCTAGAAAATAATATGTTTTATAATATTTTAATCTTTTATATTTATATCCTATGGGCTATATATCCTTATTATATCCTATATATATCCTTAATATTTGAATTATTTTTCATTTGTAAAGATATTTGCGTTTTGCTGTACACCCTGTCTGTATTAAGCAAAGTGTAAGCCAGGCGCACAACTAACGCGCTCTGCACTGGACAGTAGACCAGCTTTGATCTGATTTATTTGAACCTTCTATTTAAGTTCCTCCAAATAGCAATGCGCCAGCAATGCACCTCAATACATCTTCTTTTTTAGACCAGAACTTCTATGGGCGCACATATGAGCACAAATGTATTTGCTATTTAAACAGTGTGGCGCAAAACGTCAAAACAACTCTTGCGCCAAGCTGAAACTAGCAAAAAACAATTGCATTGCGCCGGGTGTATGATAGGGCCCAAGCACTCTTCAGGTATCTATGGGGTCAAATTTCTGTTGTGGTTTCTCAACACTGTAACAAACAGATGTCTATTAAAAGCGATGTTCAGACAACATTTTAATCATTCATGATCATTCACACTGTATTGTGTTTGACAGGTAGCCACTGCACTGCAGCATTATGCATGAGAATAAACAAAGGAAATTGAAAAAACGTATTTACCTTTACACCAACTGCGACGTCACCAATGCTGTTGAACACAAAAAGTGAGATTTGATCAGGCAGATTCCAAATACCAGGAATTTGAATGCAAGTTAAGGCATAAAAATAGAAAGGGAGGGCTGGAAATCCCTTAATCTGAATCTTTTCAAATCCCTTCCATTATTCAATGAGACAACAAATTAAGCTGATGAATATTTCACCATTTCATCACCGCTTTATTCCCCTCATTTACCAACAGGTAATAAATAAATTCACATATAATGCTCACAGTGTCTGCCCTTTAAGTCTCGGGTATGAAAAGGGCTGTTTTGATAAAGCATTGTTGATTTTAAGATAAAATACATTCAATATTAGCAGGACATTTGATGCTCAAAATGCATAAAGAGATAGCTAAATGCTAGTATGATCTTCAAATCGCAGTCTAGATAGGCAGGTTAACGTACTAGGTTTGGGACTATACTGTTTAGAATGCTACCTAGGTAACAAGCCAGCTCACTAATAAGATTTGACAGCCTCAGAGCACAATTGGTTAACCATAACTGGTCTTCTTTATAGATAAAATGTCTGTTTTTTCCACTCTTTCTCTCTACATCCAACTAAAGAAATGTAATAACTAACGTTACCTAAGAGACTTATTCGTTTTTCAGTATACAGAAGTACTGTTTGCAGTTATAAAGGCTAGCAATAGGCTAACAAAAGAAACACATGAATAAACCTTTAATGAACACACCTCAGTGTAGCACCTCAAATTATACCTAAATCAAACGTAGTAAAACAAAACGCTTGTTATTTAAAACCCTGTTGAATTGTGTGTGGACAACGTGAGGAAACAAACAGCTAACGTTAGTGAGGCTAACCTGCTAACGCATGTCTGTTGTTGTTTTGGCTGATTTTTCTTTTGTTTACTAATTTCAGTTCCTGTGCTTTCGTCAGTTGGCATGTTATTTAAGACAATACAACAATAAAAGCGATAACATGAACCTCAAGTGGTTTCGGAAGGTAAGCATAACGCTAGCATGTTAGCAACATTAGCATTTCGACAAGTGTGCATAAACTCTTCTAACACACGGTGAAATTATTCATTTATATTCATGTAAACGAAGAGTGTTTTAAATGCTCACCCGTCCATTACTGGTGATCTGTGTTTTAAAAAAATAAACCCGCCGATGAGTAAATGTGTGTGTTATTCCTCCTCACTGTCTTTAGCTCAGAAACACATACAAACACGCGCACACACACATCAGTGATAAAATGGAGGCGGAAACTGAAGCATAAAACACACCTACTGTAAACACACTGACTATACCTGTGAAACTCACATACACACGCCAACTGTAAACTCAAAGAATATTTACTGCAAGCCTGTAGTCAATACAACATTCAGAATAAACACTATCACACTAGAACATAGGCAAAAATGGAAAAAAAAAATAATAATAATAAAAAAGGAAAAGAAATAAGACCTACTAAAATCTCAGGATAATTAATTAAAAAGACTTCAGTGTACCTTTTCCTCAATTATTTCTTGGAGCATTCCTCCCAAATACATTCTAAGAATGAGAAAATGTTCAGTTAGATAACAGTTACAGTTTATGCAAAATTTGGATATTGTTCCCGTATAAATCTGGTCAGAAACAGTTCATACTGAAATCATTTTCATTTAATTGCAGATTAGTATTAAAAAATTAAAACATTTGTGAGATATCTCTAAAAGAATCTCTTAATACTTGTGTTAACGTGGATATTTGTAAAGGCAAAGTCTTGTCAATTTTTCTGTGCTATTATTTATTTATTTATTTATTATATAACTAGTTCAAATTCAAAATACATTGTCTTTAGAGTATTTGTTCATAAAAATGTAACAGTAGTAGGCCTAACCATATTTTATTTTTGGTGTCTTATTATTTTAAATGATGTAATGTAATTTATAGTTATTACTATTATTATTAGCATATGTCTGATTACAATAATTGCCTTTAAGTTTTGCATACAAAAACTGGATTAGTACAAAATCTATAGTTATTTCTGCTGAAGAAAAAAAACTGCTTAATCCAGCATTGGTTGACTGACTTATTGAGGTAAAGTTGGTTTATATTTGCACATTTTTTTATTTTAATGGTCTGTATATTGTTTACCAATTTGGATATTGGGTCTGAAATGGTGTGCAAGTATGACTTCAAAACAACAATAGCACTATTTAATTGACTGAACAATGTTGTGCTTTGATAGTCATCATCTCTTAATATGATTTCACTATTCAGAATTTGCTAAGAATATTTTTATGAAATTATATTATTAAGGAGAAAGTCAGAATGTGTAAATATAAAACCAACTTGGTTTTGTCCCTGGTTTTAGTCATTTCCAGGCTGGGAAATGATTAGCTAAAACAGCTTGACCAGCATGGTTTAAGCTGGACATAGCTGGTTTTGATAGAAGTAAAGTTGGTTTTATATTCGCACATCCACACTTTCCCCTTAATAATATGATTTCATTAAAGTATTATTATCAAACTCTAAATAGTGAAATCATATTAGCAGCCAATGACTATAAAAGTACAACATTGTTCACAGTCAAATAAACAGTGTTAATATTTTAGGCTGAATATTCAAAGTACCATGGAAAAACAATGTAAGGACCGTGTCACAAGTTGTCACTGAACGAATGAATATGTGAATATAAAACCAACTTTACCTCTATCTTGTCTTGGCTGGGCTTACAGTCTGGAAAGTCTAGTCAAGCTGATTTTAGCGGGACATCTCCCTCCCTGCCAGCTAAGACCAGGCTAAAAATGTCTGAAACCAGCTTGGAAATGGCCAAAATCCCTCTAAAACCAGGCTGGTTGACCAGCTAAAACCAGCCAACCAGCCTAGGCTTTCAGCAAGGAGTGATTAAAACCAGTTAATTTGTGGTTACCATGGACTGACCATACAAATAATAATAATAATAATAATAAAAAATAAAAATTGTGCGATTTTTGAGTTTGTTTTGATCATTAGTTTTCATAAATCTTAGGATTGATGAAGCTTTTCTTCATGTGTAATTGCTCCTATTTTAAGAAACAAAATAAAACATGCTGTATATAATCATATTCTGCTACACAATTTAGAAAATCGTATGCTGTTTTCTAGACAAACCTAGCGAGAAATGCAAGAATTCATGTTGAAATCACAAGTAATTGCAGATATTCTGTTTTGAATGGTTACCAAGTGAGAGCAATAGTTTATGTTATTATTTAACTATATATTTAATTTGCACAGTATAAAAACAATTATTTGTCACATCACGCAAGTAAAGTTTCACATGGTAAAGTACATTGTAAATACAATATATGTAAATAAATAAAAACAATAGAATGTTTCAGCATCTAAAATGTAGCATGTGCTTTTTCTTATGCATTCATCTAAATTACTACCAAGCACTTTAAAGTTTCCGACACGTATCAATGTGCTGGGAGTAATGTCCCATATTGATTCCGCTAAAAGGAATGTTTCTTGTTTTATGGCAGCTGGGATTTGGTGTCAAAAAGCGTCTGGCAGTTGTGCGCCAAGAACAAATGATAAACGTTTGAGATTTGGTGATCAGCTGACAGTTTTCTTATTTCCCCTTTGCTCAGAGGGATCCTGGAATCTAATTCCAACATGGCAGCCTCAGAAGCAAAACCAGACCCAAGTGTTTGGGGAAATGTCATTTTTAATTAAATCCCAGGTTCTTTAAGATAAGCCGTTAGACTTTAATTTCACCTGTGGCATCAAGCATAGAGCCAAAATACCATTATGTAAGTCTTGTCACAGTCAATGATATCTAACCAGCCTGCTACAGTGGGTTTTGACTGACTTGTTGAATGTTAATAGCGTTACGCTTGATCGCTTTAATTAAGCTCAGTAATTCTTTCTAGATTTTAAGCTTAATGTTGTTTGATGACAACAACAGTATGACAATAAATAATAACAAAGTCATAAAAATTACATTTGCGCTTACTCAACGTGGATTATAATACTGGCTCTTATATTGTATTTCATATATGTTATGCTTGTTTTAGGATACATTATTTCTATTTTAATAAATAGGTTACCCAGCTGAAAAATCTAGCTTAAACTAAGTTGGTTGACTGGTTTGAGCAAGTCTATCAGTCTGGTTTTAGAGGGGTTTTGGCCATTTCTAGCCTTGTCTTAACTGGCCAGGCTGGACAATGACCAGCTAAAACCAGCTTGACTAGGCTGGTTTAAGATGGACATAGGTTTTGACTGAGCTCCACTGCCTGACTAGGTAGATGAAGCTGGTTTTAGCTGGTCATCTCCCAGCTTAACCAGCTAGGATGTGGCTGGAAATGGCTGAAACCAGCCTAAAAAAAGGATAAAACCCCTCTAAAACCAGGCTGGTTGACCAGCTAAAACCAGCTAACCAGCTTAGGCTTGTTAAAGCTTGTTTTTTCAGCAGGGTACAGTAATCTCAGTTCACTTTTTTTAGTTATCAGAGTAATTTTAACATTTATCTACTTATATACTATACTTTTTTTAATCCAAAGATGTATTTGAAAGTGAAGTGTCTACTTTAATGTTTCAAACTAATTAATATGGATGAAAAGTTCCACTGTCATGTGTAAAATTAAAAAAAAAAGCATAGTTTTATGACCTATACTAATTATAATATACTACAATAAACTAATAATAATTTGGTCATACTAGATTAACTGTACTGTGAATTCAAACAATACACCACTGTTTGCTGTAGTAAAAACAAAAGTATAGCCTGCCTACTACTGCAGTTAATTTAAGTTAACTTAATACTATAAGCTATTAAATTTGTGCAGGGCGACGCAGTGGCGCAGTGGGTAGCACTTTCACCTCACAGCAAGAAGGTCGCTGGGTCGATCCTCGGCTCAGTTGGCGTTTCTGTGTGGAGTTTGCATGTTCTCCTTGCGTTCGCGTGGGTTTCCTCTGGGTGCTCCGGTTTCCCCCACAAGTCCAAAGACATGCGCTACAGGTGAATTGGGTAGGCTAAATTGTCCGTAGTGTATGAGTGTGTGTATGTTTCCCAGAGATGGGTTGCGGCTGTAAGGGAATCCACTGCGTAAAAACTTGCTGGATAAGTTGGCGGTACATTCCGCTGTGGCGACCCCAGATTAGTAAAAAGGACTAAGCCGACAAAAAAATGAATGAATGAATAAATATGTGCATACACATTAGATTAGTCAAATCAGAAGCCAAATTAGAATCAGAATCAGTTTTATTGCCAAGTGTGCTTCACACACACAAGGAATTTGTTTTGGCTACAGAAGCTTCCAGTGTACATAAAGTAACAAGTGACAACACAAAATAAATATGGAAAAAAGAAAAATGATAAACTATTAATCAGAGATGCAGTTAGTCAAAAAAAAAATAAATCTGGATGTTGAATTGTATGTACTGGAGCTTATCTAACAAAATAACTTACAATAATGGTCTAAAAACTGTACACCCAAAGTTATATGTAATTGAAAAAATATTGAATAATTAAAAAAAAAAAAAAAAAGAGGAAAAATCAAGAGAAATAAAAAAAATGAAAAATTGAGTTACATTTTTTTGTTTTTGCAATATTTAGCTTAAATTTAATTGTATTATCTTTCAAATTTTAAATATGTTTAGTGACTAAACATATTATTTTAATAAATAGATCTGTTTAATAAATCAGTTTTGTGTAAATGCATCAAAATACATTGCCTATATTAATTGAAAAATGAATAAAAGATTAATTTGCAAAATGAGGTGTAGCCTACTCAATTGTGCTGCGCAATGTACAATACTCTTTACTGGTTCAAAAACACTATAGGATTTACTATAAACTTCTACAGTATTTTTAACGTGGGTACAAAGTGAAAACTAAAATATCCAGACAAAACAAAATAGCTCCTATTACGAATGTTACTAATGTTTTTTTTTTTTTTTGCAGTAAAAACCGTGGAAAAAATGTTGAAGTGCCTTAATAATGTACTATAAACCGACTTCATACGGTGTTCCGAAAGCAATAGTTAGATCAACAAGCATAAGTATGAACCGTCAATCATGAGCAACCTATAGAACATAATAACTGACAGGTTCATAGATTTAATAGATCTTTTCGACTTTTCTCCACATGACTAGCGCTGGGCATTAATAGCAGCGTGTTGCCTGCCATTTTCTTTAATTACCAAAGCAGCACCGCTTCTGCAATATTAAAACCTACCATTGATTTCCATTTTTCTACATGCGTGTTTTTGCGTCTCACCTG